GAGGTAACGGTTGGGCTAATTAAGCCAGAGGATCAGCAACGGCGGTGATTGGCTGTGGCTGTTGTCAAGGACGAGGAGGCATCGAGATGTCTGGAGAAAGGCAGGTGTTTGAGGACGCGAAGCGTACGGAGGCACGCGGGCCAATTAATTATCGATGAGAATGGGGATAAATTGGAGGAGACACACAGAGAGCGGGGGAGTTGGAGTTGGGAGCTGGACGAGGAAGATGTGGAGTTGGAAACAGAGTAGAAACAGAGTTTGGAAACAGTTTTGAAACAGAGGTTGGAGACAGAGTGGGAGACGGAGTTGGAACAGAGTGTGAAGCAAGACGAAGTAGTTAGCAGTGGAGTGAGCATAGCGATAGCGGAGTTGAAGCCGCTGTGTGCGGAGTGTGCAAAGACGCTGTGTGCGGAGGAGCTGAAGAGAATAGCCAGCAGTGGAGAGAGCCTAGCGATAGCGGAGCTGAAGACGCTGTGAGCGGAGTTGAAGACGCTGTGTGCGGAGTGTGCGAAGTCGCTGTGTGCGAAGACGCTGTGTGCGGAGTTGCTGAACGGGGAGTCGCTGAGGGCGAAGCAAGTAAAGTGATAGTGGGGAGACAAAGGTGGTGAGCGAGACGAGCGGAGCACGGCGAGCGAGCCGTGGTGACCAGGATACTGTGGAGTGTGGAGGACATGTTAAATGTTGTAAATAAAGCGGTGTTCGAAGAAAGACAGAAGTTGTCCGCGTAAAGTCGAACACTACATATTTTTAGCAATGGAAGGAAACTGGAGAACCCAGAGGAAACCCGTGCAGAATAGAGGCTGGAGGGGGGGGCGTACAAACACAAACACACATTCACTACCGCTCACAAATACACTTTCACTACCGCTCGCATTCACTACCGTTCACACACTCACATTCACTACCGCTCACAAACACACATTCACTACAGCTCACAAACACACATTCACTACCGCTCACATTCACATTCACTACCGCTCACATTCACATTCACTACCGTTCACACACTCACATTCACTACCGCTCACAAACACACATTCACTACAGCTCACAAACACACATTCACTACCGCTCACATTCACATTCACTACCGCTCACACACTCACATTCACTACCGCTCACAAACACACATTCACTACCGCTCACAAACACACATTCACTACCGCTCACAAACACACATTGACTACCGCTCACATTCACATTCACTACCGCTCACACACTCACATTCACTACCACGCACAAACACAAATTCACTACCGCTCACATTCACATTCACTACCGTTCACACACTCACATTCACTACCACTCACAAACACACATTCACTACCGCTCACACACTCACATTCACTACCGCTCACACACTCACATTCACTACCGCTCACAAACACACATTCACTACCGCTCACAAACACACATTCACTACCGCTCACAAACACATTCACTACCGCTCTCACACACAAACACATTCACTACCGCTCACACACACATTCACATTCACTACCGCTCACACTCACATTCACTACCGATCACAAACACACATTCACTACCGATCACAAACACACATTCACTACCGCTCACAAACACACATTCACTACCGCTCAAACACACATTTACTATCGCTCACACACACATTTACTGCCGCTCACACACATTCACATTCACTACCGCTCACAAACACACATTCACTACCGCTCACACACATTCACATTCACTACCGCTCACAAACACACATTCACTATCGCTCACACACATTCACTACCGCTCACACACATACATTCACTACCGCTCACACATACACATTCACTCCCGCTCACACACACACACATTCACTACCGCTCACACACACATTCACTACCGCTCACACACATTCACTACCGCTCACACACATTCACTACCGCTCACACACACACATTCACTGCCGCTCACACACACATTCACTACCGCTCACACACATTCACATTCACTACCGCTCACACACATTCACATTCACTACCGCTCACACACACATTCACTACCGCTCACACACATTCACTACCACTCACACACACACATTCACTTCCGCTCACACACACATTTACAAACACACACTCACAAACACACATTCACTTTCATTACCGCTCACGCACAAGCACACACATTTACAAACACACACTCACAAACACACAAACACACACATTCACAAACAGACACATTCACAAACACACAAACACACACATTCACAAACACACACTCACAAACACACATTCACTTTCATTACCGCTCACACACAAGCACACACATTTACAAACACACAAACACACATTCACAAACACACACATTCACAAACACACAAACACGCACATTCACAAACACACACTCACAAACACACAAACACACACATTCACAAACACACACATTCACAAACACACACATGTGGTGCCACCGCAGCGAAGCCACTCCGTCGGGGCCGTACCACTGTGACGCCGCCACCAACGAGCGACGGGGCCGACGCTGCTCGTCCCTCACCACCCCCCACCTGAACACACGCACATACCCCCCACGTAGAGCCCTCACATGAACACACACACACCCACATAGAGCCCCCACCTGAACACACGCACACACCCACATAGAGCCCCGAGGGGAGGTCACCTGGCCCGCAGGTTTTCACCCAGAAGCCCTCATGGGATTAAGCTTCACGGTTTCCTGCGGCCAGGGAATTGGGCGACCTACCCCGAGGCTAGCGTACACCGCGGCGCCGTGACCTGGGGGGTACTTACATGGTCACGACGGGGCTGCTGAGCCACCGCGGATAGAAACACCCACGCTCAACACGGGTCAGCAGGCAAGTAGAGAAAGGGGCAGGTAAGCGGACGTCGGAGAGAGCACGAATCCGATTATCAAAAGGGCGGGAAATCCCGGGCCTCTGATTGGACGGCAGGCCAGGGGGGCGGGGCCATAAGGGTAGCCTTTGTTGTAAGGACTATAAAAGGGGGTGAAACAGGCAGTGAGGGGTGTTCTTCAAGGCATCGAGGTCAGCGGAGTGGCTGGCCAGAAGTTCGAATCGTCCGTGTGACGAGCCTCCAGCGCAGCCGGGCCCAATTCTCCACGGAGACGACTCACAGCATCGCCCTTCCACAGCTTCCGGCGCATCAGAGTGGGACTAAGAGTAAGTAAGGGAGAGGTGAGTTTGGGCTAATTAAACAGAGGGTAGAAAGTGAAGCGACAGGCAAAATAAATTGAGTCCCAGATCACCGAGGGATAGGCTAGTGACTGCTGACCCACACAAACACGCGTTGTTTAGTTGGTTTATTTGCGGGAATAAATCATCAGTAGAGGATAAACCGTGTCGTGTGGTCTTTGTGAGTGCGAAGAGAAGGGTGGAGTGCCTTGTGTTCGCGTGCACACACGGCTGTTCACACGGCCTTTAAATCGGCTCAGAGGTGCCTCCTCCAATCGGCGGTGAGCGCGCGGTGGACGCCCCTGCCCTCTGACCCCTGACCCCGAGTCCCTCGCGTGCGATTGGTGTACGGAGCCGAGCAGGTAGCGGAGTCGGGTTTGTGGGTGCCTGGGCACGTAGGGCACGTGTGTGCGAACGGATCCCGGGGGCTAAGCGCCAGCCGCGGACCATGCCTCAAACACAGCAGCGGTGAAGGTGGGAGAGGCGGAGGGTAGCAACCCTCCCCCGAGTGGAGAAGAGGAGAGCCTCGGATCGCAAGGGAGTGGGGATTCGGGGAGCAGCGGCCTTCACACACACTCACAAACACACACACACTCACAAACACACACACATTCACAAACACACACACACTCACAAACACACACACACTCACAAACACACACACACTCACAAACACAGACTCACAATCACACACACACTCACAAACACACTCACATTCACACACACTCACATTCACACACTCACTGCAGAACGAGTGGAGACCATAGAAGCTCCACACAGAAAGGCTCCTGGATGGGGAATCGACAACCAGGCACCTCTTGCTGTGAGGCGTTAGTGCTGAGCTGTCGCCGCCTGCCGCCCACAGCGACGGCGCTGGGGACGTTGTGCGTGGGGACCCTCTCATTCGGAGCGGTAACTCGGGGATCCCAACGCCCAAAGGTGCTGACTCACGACCCTGACACGGTCATTATTCCCCCTCCCTCATTGAGCCTTTGTTTCAAACAAAGATTCAGCGGGGACCTCTCGGTACTGAAGGGATGCTACCTGTGACTCACTGTAATCTCGTGGCCCCGGGGGGGCGGGGGGGTTGAACCGGAGCATTCGGAGCGAGAAGCGGCGACGTGAACGCATTTCTAGAAGACGGACGACATGGCAGGGAGAAAAGCGCCACGTGGCGGAGTTCAGCTGAGGGCTGGCGGCTGAGTCAGAGCGCCAGGTCCTTGGGCGTGTGGCCCAGATCGTGATTGTGCGGGAGACAAGACTTCATCAGATAGACACTCGATCGCTTGCCATGCCCGGCTCTGAGAGCAGCCCGAGCCGTGAGCAGCAGCACGTAGGCGAGAACTCATCCGTCTCGGCCTGAAGAAAACCCTACCACCTCCCTCTCTGGCCGTGCCCAGTGTCGATAGGTGCAGGGTGAGCTATGAGGGCGGCGCTTTCACGAGCCGCATGGGAGCGACGGGGGGTGGGTGGGGGGAATGAGATGAAGAGGCGCCAGCGAGCCTCTAAAATAACGTTAAAGATGATGGAGGCTAGCTGCAGACCGGCTCGTGGCAACGAGGGAGTTTCGTGCCCCCCCGTGGGGCGAACCGAGCAGAACCTCCCAAAAATGGGGCCTGAGAAGAATGCTCCGAAAAAATGCCCAAAGGTTGCGATTGTAGTAAGATCCGAAATGTACAAAGAGGGAACGGATAAATGAGTAAGATCGCAATGCTGTGGGCATGGCAGCAGTTGCCAGGGATGATGTCATCACTCCCACTGCGGCAGCCAATCAGCTGCTAGAAAGACAACTCCATGAAACGCGGCAACCAGTACAGAATTGCTCTGTGCTCTTCAGCGCGTCTGTGGCTTCAGCTAAGCATGTTTTTGTTATCCATGTTTATTGAATGAAATATTATTGTTGCGGACGATTAGGTTTGCCATTAATTATAACAATTTGATGGGTTACAATTATGAGTTATGACCAGATTCATCTCTATAATAATCTTTGCATTTATATGATGCTTAAATGCACACGTCTCATCTCAAACACATGAAAAGCAGCTGTACCGATGCAGCACCAGCGGACTCAGCACACAGGTGGGTAATAGTCGGGATGACGTTGCCGTGCGTGATCCCAATTGATGAATTTGCGGTGCGATGTTCGGAATTTGGCAAATTTGACCGTGATGCCGGCACACAATGGCCAGCGAATTTCAATTCACGTCACGGCCTCTTGAACGTTCACTATGAAGCAGAAGGAAGGGCGTTTCTGTACGTCGAATACAGCACTGCAGGGTTCCCCATTGGAGCCTGCCGTAGCCCCGAACCGCGAAACTCTGCTGCAAGAGACGGGGCCCACTACGCTGCTGGGCCGTGTCACCGAGTTAAAGGCGGAGAGACAAATGACACAAACTGACGCATAATCATTGAAGCCTCATTATATTGACCAACGTTTATTTCAAGACTGAAAATCACCTGCAAATTACTAAATTGGGGATCACACACAGAAGCACCATCGCTCCCTCCTTAAAATTCCTCCCAGGGCCGCTCCCGTGATCTGATGCGCACGGGATCCTGGATGTGATGTTCCCCAGCGCACCCCTCGGCCGTCACCCCGCCCGTCACCTCGCAAACTTGGGACATGAGAACCCCGTTAACCCCGGCGAGCCCTCACATTTACCGTGAGCACATGCCTGCTGCGAGCGTCTTCATGACGCGTCTCATGCTACGACATCGTAATTATTTTTTCCCGGAGCTCCGTTTGGAGTCACCTGCGGAGGCGACGGTGTGGGTGGGTTGTGAAGTCAGCGGCGGCTCCGCTGGCAGAGAGATTCCTCTGCTGAGCCGGGGGTTGGATTTGTGATGCGTGGCGATGGGGGGGTCGCGCCCCCCGCTCTCAATAACACACACACGTGCATGCATGCACACAAACACACACGCACACACTCACATGCACATGCATGCACATGCATGCACACAAACACGCACACACATGCATGCACACAAACACACATGCATGCACACATGCATGCACACAAAGACAAAGATCCCCCATATAGCCTTAACAGACTGTTGGGGCAAGTTAGCGAGCACCTATGAAGGCCGGAACGGTACACGAGGGGGTGGGTGGCCAACACCACGCCCGACCGCCTTTATCTCCCTAGTGGCGATGTTTACACACCGCACCAGGTACTCATTTGAGGCTGAGTCGACCTAGGGGAGGCCCGGGACCGGTTCAGATAATCGTCACTGGTGTTGGCCGTGAGCGGGAATCGAACCCGGGTCGCGCTAACCGCTACACTATCGCTCCCCACATGCATGCACACAAACACACACACATGCACAGATGCACACACACAAACATACACACACGCGCACACAAACACACACACATAAACACACACACCTGCCACTCCGAGGGGTAACGATGGCCGGTTCATCCATATCAAGTGTGGGCCTCCACTCGGGAAAACATCCGGGTGAATGGATTTGTTTGCATTTTATCATGGGTAGAAATCACCCCTGCAGCCACTAGAGGCACTATAATGTTAAAGCGACAGATTCACACACCGTGCTAATACACAGAGTAAGAAAAGCTCTGAGCCAGCGATGCAAATTTGACATTTTGACGTCCCCACAAAGTGGTGCTTGTTTTATCGACCCCGTGAGGGTTGATGGGCTGAGTGAACCCCCAATCAGGAAATTGAACTCGGGCCCTTCCGACTGCAAGCCGCTCGCACCACCGCTTAGCCACGCCGCCCTCATATCCACACACGCTGCAGCGACATTTGTGTTCCGACTGAGAAATGAACACACGGGGTAGAAAACATACACAAAATGAGAGACGCCACGTTGCCTGTCAAGGCAAAGCTCATCGCTAGAAGCGGAGCTCATCGCTTGAAGGGATGATGGAGCGAGATCAGACCCATGTGTAGAAGTGAGATGGATTGTGGCATCGCAAGATCGAGAGATGGGGAGGGGGGGGCGCAGAGCAGTGGTGAGGCCTTCATCCAACAGTGGATGGATCATAGCCAATTGTGTGTGTTTTTTGGGGTGAAGAGAGGAGTCTGAACTCGCGCTGGGACGGAGAGTTGACAGCACGGGCGGCTGGAGGGAGAGAGGCAGAGCGTTCCGGACGGTGAGGGGGGGGGGGGGTAGAGCGGGAGGAGCGAATCGCAGCGGCTCCATCACCCGGGCCACGGCGTCGCACGGCAAATTGTCGCGGGGCAGAGCGAGAGAGAGACAAGCGGGGAGGCAGATAGGAGAGATGAATGGAGACGGCTGGAGACTGACAGATGTGGGCCCTGTGATAAACGTGCAACAATCTCTGCCGTGCGCGAGGTCAACACCGCGTTCAAAATGGGAGACACGAGGAGCGCAGATTCACTCGCGTTCCTCACACAAAAACAAAGATCCCCCATATAGCCTTAACAGACTGTAGGGGCAAGTGCTGTTAGTGAGCACCTATGAAGGCCGGAACGGTACACGAGGGGGTGGGTGGCCAGCACCACGCCCGACTGCCTTTGTCTCCCTAGTGGCAATGTTTACACACCGCACCAGGTACTCATTTGAGGCTGAGTCGACCTAGGGGAGGCCCGAGACCGGTTCAGATAAGCGTCACTGGGTGTTGGCCGTGAGCGGGAATCGAACCCGGGTCGCCAGGTTCATAGCGCAGCGCGCTAACCGCTACACTATCGCTCCCGTTCCTCACACACACACTCAAACACACACACTCGCGCACTCACACACACACTCACACACTCACACACACTTACACACTCACACACACTCACACACACTCACACACACACTCACACACGCTCGCACACTCACACACACACTCACACACTCACACACACTTACACACTCACACACACACTCACACACACACACGCTCACACACACTCACACACTCACACACACTCACACACACTCACACACGCTCACACACACTCACACACTCGCACACTCACACACACACTCACACACTCACACACACTTACACACTCACACACACTCACACACACACTCACACACGCTCACACACACTCACACACTCGCACACTCGCACACTCACACACTCACACACACTTACACACTCACACACACTCACACACACTCACACACACACTCACACACGCTCACACACACTCGCACACTCACACACACACACTCGCACACACACTCACAAACACTCACACACACACTCACACACTCACACACACACTCACACACACTCACACACTCACACACACTCACACACACACTCACGCACACTCACACACACACTTTACACACACACGCACACACACGCACGCACATACACGCGCGCACACACACACGCGCATACACACGCGCGTGTTGCCAAATCACCATCGTCGTATTCATGCTCAGGGGGCCGAGCTGCGTGTGAGAGAGGCCGAATTTCAGCCCGGGCTTGTTCCAGCTCTTTTTTTTGGCCAACACCCAGCACTGCAGATCCCATTGAGTACTCCGCTCGCTGTGGCTACGGCTGCCAGTCATCTGCCACCTGCACGAATGTCTCCCTGTGCCGGTGACATGAAACGTATTCGGTGAGAAGTGAAACCGTGGGTACATTTGTAGGGTTAAACCGTTCCCTTGTCATAGTCTTATCCTAATCCGCTCTCCCACTACCCTAAACCAGTCTCCCTATGCATGTGTGTAGATCTGATCAAATACACGCGGTGTCAAGTGAACATCCGCTAGAACCACAACGGTCATCGTGTGCCAGCGTCGTGATGAAAATTTTCTCCATTTTAAATAAATACTTCCAGTATCGATCACCACCGGCACACTACAACTATCCGTGAAGCACAGCAGCACCTTGCTTCGTGATACAGCCCTGCGCCACAAGCATGGCACGAATACCATATGGATAAATATGATTATCCTGCTGCTACTACTGCTTATTCAGCAGTATGCAGCACGTGTACACTCGCAGTATATGCAGTACACATCCCAGCACACGCGGAGGCAATGCCAGAGATGGATATTTAGAGAAACGGGAGAGAGCGCGAGAGGTGAAGGAGTGGGTGTTGATTGAGAGTGCAAAATAGGGAGGTTGAATGGGATTAAGCGAGCGCTGGAGATGGAAGGAGCTGGAGATGGAAGTAAGATGGAGATGTGCGGGGAGGGAGGGAGGGAGAGGCCGTGAAGGTGACCTCGCGTTAGTCACGCGCGCTCGCATGGCCCCCGGCTCCGATGCCGGCCCTGCCGTTGTTGTCGCCGTCCCCGAGTGCGCACGCAGTGGGGCCACGGCAGCGCTCGGCACGCCGAGGATGGCAGCAGCGCCGCCGGTGACTCGCGGCAACACGGCGACGCACAACGCGTCCGTACGCAACGCGCCGTCAGATTAATCTGGAATCTTCGCTCTGAGAGAGCCTCACCAATTACTCTAATGCTCTCTCTCGCTTTCTCGCACGCGCTCAGAGGATCCAGATCGGGTTGTGGTTATAATCGAATTCCTGCTTTGCTTTTTGACGCAGGAGGAAGCGAGCACATCTGGGGGAGATGTGCGCATCCAAGAGGGGATACCCTCTGTGCAGACTGTGGTCACAAATCAAATTTCTGGACTAAACGAATCATCTTGTGACGCGGCTGTTGCTGCATTGGCAGTGGTACACATTTGTCAATAAAACTGCGGCCTTAAAAGGAAAAAAAGTATACAACAGGTCACGTTTTGGGTAATCGGCGTTTGTTGTGGCGATGCTACAATGGAGATATCGTACGATTGAGATCCGCGATTTTGACTTAGTCCCCTTCGCTAAATATCATCTCGTGATTATCGTTGCTCATGCGATTCTTCAGAAATGTCGTCTTGCCTCGCAAAACACATAAATTATAGCAAGTCCAATTTAGCAAAGCTCATTCATGCGCCTATTACGTATTTTTACTTTAAACACCACAGTGTCATTGACGAATACGTTGAGTCGTTTACTCGCTCTGCCGCCTTGGCTACCCTCGCGGCGTGAGCAGAATTAGAATCTGAATCTTTTATTCATTCCGGTAGAAATCCGATGAGCTATAAAGCTCTTTCTCGCAAATGTCCAGTAGGGGCAAGGGGTCAGAACGCTACAATAAACAATACAAAAAAACCATAGAAGTGCAAAGTATAGGGAAAGTAAACAAATCCCTTAAAAAATAAATATGCAGAAACAAAACTGAACTATTTGCAAGCATCTCATGCACAGCCTGGTTCTCATGAACACGCGATCCACCAACCCTGTCTCTGTAGAACCACCGGATTAACGTCGTGCGTCACCGCCAGCTGCACCCAGTCGAGTCCCGGATGGAGCCGGCGACCCTCCCCACTCAGCCTCATCGCGGGGGGTTTCTTGCCAATGAGCCCGCCGCTCGAAATCGGTAAACAGTTGCTCATCTATCCGCGCCTCCGATGAGTACGGTTGGCTGTGTATGGTGCGAAAGAAGATCAACGTCCGGTACATACTTACAGTTATGTTCACGGGTTTGCAGCTGGCTTTTGAGACATTGGCTCCAATCTGCCCCACACTAAACATAAATGTACTAAATATACGGACGGTTGAATTTTGCAGCAACAACGACAATAGTAATTTACAACACATTGCCAATCCACTGCTGTTGGATGAAAGCCGCTGCATGCCATGGCAGTCGTAAAGCAGGGCCATTGCCCAAAACGTCCCCGATTGTATATATAAATATATATATTTTAATTTTAACCCCACGGTGTTATTGAAGACTGTGTTGAGATTAGGGCGCGAGAAAGGTTCAGATTTAAATTAATGCCGCAACACTGCTGGCGCCGGGGACAAAAAGCCGCCCCAGATTTTGTGGATTGGGTCTCGATTGAGGGCGACTGCGAGCGGCGGGCCGAGCGAAGGCAACGCGGCGCAACGGGGTTCATGGCAGGGCTCGTAGCCACGCCGCATGCCGGGGCCGCAATTTTCTCCGGGATTCTCGCAAAAGAGGGCCCCACAGCCGCCCCCGTGGATGTGCTGAACGAGCGGACTGAGCCCACAAGATGTTTTATCTCTGGGGGGAGGGGGGGGGTGTGGCGGGCCTCCAGGAACCTCGCGGTGACCGCGCTGCAGGGCTCTGTCCAGGCCGCGGAGGGCCTCGTGCCATCATAGGCCTCGGCCGAATGCAGCGCCCCGGAGAGACGTGAGGGGCGCGCGGACGTGTCCATCCGCGCGCAGGATCTGAGCACCCGGGCCATAGAACTGCCCTCACCCACTGCTCCATCCCGAGTCCTACGTCTGAACCGGTCTGACCGTCCCAGCCCCTGTTCAGTTCCAGGTCCAAGACTCTGCTCCGCTGCCTGTGACCGTCTCTCTCTGTCTATCCATGAGAGGAGACCATGACATGCCATGGTAGCCTGTAGCGCTCGAAGCCTCTTTCCCTGCAAAACCTCCTCTAACCCTCCCCACCGCTCCGCCCCGCCTCCCGCACTCGAGTTACATTTTTCTAAATTGTGCAAGGTAGCCGCCGCGCTACTTGCACGGCGTCATGGGATGAGGTCGGGCGGAGCGATTTACAAATTCCCAAACGGCGTCGGATCGTTTCGCTGAGAGATGCTCGCGTTGAGAGAGATCGCACATCCTCGCGGAAATTTCAGCGGGAACGATTTTTCTCCACGTATAAATCACAACCTGCCACCTTCTCCTGGTCCTCTCTGTCCGCTCTCGGGAGAAGCAAGGTCTTAGGCAGGAGCAATTCTGTCTCAATAGAGAGAGCGATAGATTGGTAATCGCGTAAGATTCACCACCGAGCGCGTGACAATTATCCAGGCGGCGCGCGTGGTTTGTCCTGGCAGAAGGTGAGCAGCAAGCTGACGGTGCCGTTGGACTCCATCGGCGACCATCCGTGAGGGGTCGCGCGCACGTGCCGCCCGGACTCTCTCCCAGTGTCCAGCAGAGCGAGCGGGCGCCTTCTTTGGCTACTTTACTGAAATTTGGGCCGATTTAAAAAACTGCACCGCTGAAGACTCAGCTGGGATCATTCAGCACACAGGGTCGCGATCGTTGCTGCCTACTGGCGGACTGGTCATTCTTGCAAGCTACACTCATCCTGCTCCCTTGCGTTCTCAGCTGGCTGTACAAAATAATCTTGCAATGATAAAGCTCTCTCTGTCTCGAAATCAGCTCAAGCCTCCCATAAATCTCGCGACTTCTGCGTGGCCACTCCCACTCTGAATCCCTCCCCTCTCCCCACACCCTTTTCTATCCTTTTCCAACGCATCACATCCCTCACTCTACTCCCCTTCCCCGCGGTCTAGTCGCGGGTGAACAGGTGCCGGTAATTACGGATCAATGACAACGATCCTCTGTGTCGGGTGGCAGCCCAGCAGAGGGGCTGTTACGAGCCGCGAGGCGCGGTGCGGACTCCTGCACCGGTGGTCTCATCAACACGGACCGCGCCATCGTCCGGCCGAGACGGCGCGCGCGTTGCCAGCCGACGGCGGTGACAGCGCGCGGTCGTCTCCACGCGCTGACAAGACATCCAAACACAGATCCCCAGAATCTTGCGGTGTCCGGCCCATAAACTCACCTACATACTCCAGCCACTGACTCACTCACTCACCACTCACTCACAAGTATTGGCGGTATCCGGCTTATAAACTCACCTACCTACTCACTCCAGCCACTGACTCACTCACCACTCACTCACTCACAAGTATTGGCGGTGTCCGGCCCATAAACTCACCCACCTACTCACTCCAGCCACTGACTCACTCACCACTCACTCACAAGTATTGGCGGTGTCCGGCCCATAAACTCACCTACCTACTCACTCCAGCCACTGACTCACTCACTCACCACTCACTTACAAGTATTGGCGGTGTTCGGCCCATCTAAGGGGAACCCACTACCAGCGGTCACTGTGATTCATCGCAAACTCTCAACCAAATTTTCAGGAGACTCAAGGCGGAAATAACTTCCGTGCAGCTTACAACGCACAAAACCACAGCACACATGCTATCGTGTCCAGAGCTCCTCGCACAACCCGGCCTGGCTAAACCCAGGAGGGGTCATAAACACACACGCATGCGCGCGCACAAACCACTGTGTCGCTCCCGTGTGTCTGCCCCGAGTCGCCTTCATCTGAGTCGATCTGCTGTGAACATCACTGGCCGTGGGAGACGCCACAGGATGGGCTTGGCCGTGCCGGCAACATGGCGCCGGGGGAGTTGCCCCACCTTGCTACCACCTCGTCACCACCTCGTTACCATCAGGTCACCACCTCGTTACCATCAGGTCACCACCTCGTAGACGTACGTTTTCTCTGCTCGCGCCGATTTCCTCTGCCGCGTAGAATGACTCGAAGAGGAATTGACCGCATACACAAAGACAAAGATCCCCTTCTATAGACTGTAGGGGCAAGTGCTGTTAGCGAGCACCTGTGAAGTCCGGCATGGCACACGGAGGGGGTGGGTGGCCAACACCACGCCCAACCGCCTTTGTCTCCTCAGTGACGATCTTTTTACACACCACACCAGGTCCTCATTTGAAGCTGAGTCGACCTAGAGAAGACCCAGGACCGGTTTAGATAATCGCCAATGGTGTTGGTCGAACTCGGGTCACAGGATTGACAGGGCTGGGCGCTAACCGCTGCACCACCGCTCCCCACTCACGTACACTCACACACTCACACGACCAAACACTCACGCACACACGACCACACACTCACACACGCACACACACACACTCACACAGTCACACACTCACGCACAGTCACTCACACGCACAGTTACACACTCACGCTGACACACACCTACAGTCACACACACTCACACGACCACACACTCACACGCACACACGCTCACACGACCACTCACACACTCACTCACGCACACTCACGCACAGTCACTCATACGCACACAATCACACACTCACACACACGCACACACTCTCACACACACGCACACACTCACACACACTCACACTCACGCACACTCACACACACGCACAGTCACACACTCACACACAGTCACACATAGTCACACACGCACACAGTCACACACTGTCACACACTGTCACACACTCACACACAGTCACACACAGTCACACACTCACACACAGTCACAGGCACAGTCACACACTCACGCACAGTCACACAGTCACACACAGTCACACACTCACACACAGTCACACACAGTCACACTCACGCACACTCACACAGTCACTCACACAGTCACACACACAATCACACACACACTCACACACAGTCACACACAGTCACACACTCACACACAGTCACACACACAGTCACACACTCACACAGTCACGCACAGTCACACACAGTCACGCACAGTCACACACACAGTCACACACAGTCACACACAGTCACACAGTCACACTCACACCACAGTCACACAGTCACACACACAGTCACACGCACTCACACACAGTCACACAGTCACGCACTCACACACAGTCACACAGTCACACACAGTCACACACACACACAGTCACACTCACACACAGTCACACTCACACACAGTCACACAATCACACACACAGTCACACACACAGTCACACACACGCACAGTCACACACAGTCACACACTCACACACACACAGTCACATACACTCACACACAGTCACACAGTCACACACACAGTCACACACACAGTCACACACTCACACAAAGTCACACACTCACACAAAGTCACACACATTCACACACACAGTCACACTCACACACAGTCACACAATCACACACAGTCACACACAGTCACACACACGCACAGTCACACACAGTCACACACTCACACACAGTCACACAAACGCACAGTCACACACAGTCACACACTCACACACTCACACACACACAGCCACACAGTCACACGCAGTCACACACACACAGTCACACACAGTCACACACACACACAGTCACACACACGCACAGTCACACACAGTCACACACTCACACACAGTCACACACACGCACAGTCACACACAGTCACACACTCACACACAGTCACACACTCACACACACACAGTCACACACACTCACACACACAGTCACACAGTCACACACACAGTCACACACTCACACAAAGTCACACACTCACACAAAGTCACACACATTCACACACACATTCACACACACAGTCACACACACTCACACACACAGTCACACACTCACTCGCACACAGTCACACGCGTGCCACCAGCGCAGGACCCTCTTACGAATGAGCAATGAAGAAATATGATTGTATTTTTAGTTCCGATTCAATTCCTCTGATCGTGTTACATGATATATATTTATCTATCTTCTTCTCTCCTTTCTTCTGCTACAAGGGTGCATTTGTTTCCCGTGGCCTTTTCCATTTTACTTAGCGCTGACTGGCGCCGCATTCGTCAACGGCGCGGCCTATTAGCCGGGACAATTCGTATAACGCGACGCCAGTTTAATTTACAGCCGCGATGCATCACGCAGCCTTAGTTGAGAGAAAGAAAGAGAAAAAAATCTCCGTGTGAATTATTTAATCTCTCTAATGAAGTCAAGGCCGATGCAGGTCAGCGCAGGCCAAAGGTGCGATGCCGCGTGGACTTGCTCCCACAGAGGAGCAAGTCCACGCGTGCCGCTCAGGAAGGAGACCGGGGGGAGCCCTGGGGTGGTCCGCAGCACTCCGAGACGACGGTTCGACTCCGACCTCTGGCTCGCTCGCTGGGCGGCGGTAGCGCCTCGCGGGGTTTGTGCGTCGGTGTGCTCTCCACCGTGCTCTGCGGCGAGTCAAGGCGTGTGTGTGTGTGCTGTGCGTGGTGAGTGCGCTGAGTTTGTATTCGCTCCCCCTGCTCAGCGTGCCTTTCTTCCGGGTTCTTCGGTTTGCTCCCATAGTTCACAACAACCCACACATTGTTACCAGAATTAGGATCACAGACAGCAGCAAACTGCAGCAGCAGCAACATCGCTCCCCTGCTGCGAACAACTTAGCAGGACCCTTCTGTGACACACAGAGAGAGAGAGTCTTGAGACTCGAGGCTTTCCTGGACAAACACGTGGAATGATAATAAAACAACAACACTGCACGGCCCGTTGTAACGCGGACGACTCAGACTCGGTGACATTGTTCACAAGAGCGGCGGCTGCGTCTTCCCGCACCATCACCGGGGCCGTGCTTAGGGCGCTGCGCCCGTGAGCTCGCGCGGGGCCCCAGCTCGATCCCATCGCCGCGGCGCTCGTCAGTGGCTCAGCCGCTGCCTGAACCGACCCCGAGTCCACGCCGACCGGCGTGGTGAAGTTCGGTCAAACAACCCCCATGACCGACAGCACCATGACCGACAGCAGCAGTGGCCGCAAATCCACCCCCGAACCGCGGCGCTCGAATGACTTTGACCTGCACGTCGAGTTTCCAACGCACTGACACACAAAGACATGCACCTATACACATGACTGACACGCACGCACTGACACACAAAGACATGCACCTATACACATGACCTGACACGCACGCACTGACACACAAAGACAAAGATCCCCCGTATAGCCTTAACAGACTGTAGGGGCAAGTGCTGTTAGCGAGCACCTATGAAGGCCGGCAGGGCATACGAGGGGGTGGGTGGCCAGCACCACGCCCGACCGCCTTTGTCTCCCCAGTGGCGATGTTTACACATCGCACTAGGTACTCATTCAAGGCTGAGTCGACCTAGGGGAGGCCCGGGACCGGTTCAGATAATCGTCACTGGTGTTGGCCGTGAGCGGGAATCGAACCCGGGTCGCCAGGTTCATAGCGCAGCGCGCTAACCGCTACACTACCGCTCCCCACACACACACTGACACGCACACTGACACACACACAGACACACCCTCTCGCCCTCTCTCACACATACACACAAAGACAAAGATCTCCCGTATAACCAGAGTAGACTTTTTGGGGCAAGTGCTGTTAGTGAGCGCCGATGAAGACCGCCACAGGCCGCGCCAGGTACCCATTGGAGGCTGTTGGCCATGAGCGGAAATTAAATTCGGGTCGCCGGGATCGTAGCGCGGTGTACTAACCACGACACCACTGCAACAACAACTCGGATTCCCCACGAAGTGTTGGTTACGTCACCACGGCGCTTGTGCCAGGCTATGTGCACTTCAAGGCCACGTGAAGTGTCGACAGCTTGCTGGCAGGAGTTCTCTGGACAGATCCAGGTGCCATGGGTTGACTGACTGAGATGACTGACAGATGGACCGCCACTGTGTCACCTCGCTGTGTGTTAGCCGCCGCCCCGACGCTCCGCTCGTTGCTGTGCTCCCCCCTCCGCTGTTGTTGAAGGGCGACCGCCTCCAACTGCCCAGTAGCGTCCTTCACGTGCCTCCTGCATCGAGGCCGATCTTGATCCCGCTAGTACCAATCATCGGCAAGTCCACTCAGCTCCACGTCCTCCTGTA